GCTTCATATAACTGAAAGAGAAGTTTCGTATGTATTAGTTATAAAGAACATGTTTACTTACACTGCTAAATTCCATTCTGCTCTCTCCTTTCTCAGTTTTATGGCTTCTTCATCCCTTTCACCTCCAAAAATCTTTCCTGACCAAAACAGCTAAGTCTGTAACACTTACTATTAAACTCTCAAAGGTCGCTTCCTTCAGTCTTGCCTTTACTACTCATGAGCAGAGCTGAAAGACAATTTAAACTACACCTGAAGTGACACTCCACCTTCCTATACCTGCTGCAGTTATGCCCTTGGACCCCATCTCTTTTCTGTGACCCTATCTGGGGACAACAGTTTCAATCTGGCCAACTGAACACTGGGCTGTACTTGTTTTTAAATTACTCTTCCCATAAATATTATCTGATAGTGAATAAGTCACTGTAGTTAGCAAAAGAAGTTTAGAAGTGGAATAAGAGTAATAAATTGTTGACTGAAATAGCTTACCTTATCCAATTTACGTGATCGAAGGGCATGCGCTGCCCTATGATACTGAGCTGTCAGGTAAAGACATTGGGCCAACCAGTAGATATCTTGTGGTTCCTCTAAAATAAAAGAACAAATTATAAATCTTTAAATATACAGAATACTCACTTTTGCTTCACTAGGAAAGTATTTTTTCCCCTATTCTAGCATCCTATTGAGTTACAAAGTTTGGGGGGCTTTGGGGTGTGTGTATATATATATCTGTATGCACACTGTATAATATCTATCAGTGAGAGATTAAAATGAAAAAGTAATTAGATTTTAACTTTAAAGAAATGGGATAGTGAGTGCACTGGACAGTGAATACCATAAACCTCATGCTAGAGGTTTGTCATGAGAAGGAGACAACAGTGATACAGAGGTAAAAAAAGCAGCAGTTGTGGGTTACCCTGCCCTTGGACATAGGGCAGAAAAAAAAACCAACCCAGAATTATCTCTCAAAAATATCAGTAAGAACTTAACAACAGCAAAACTGAAAGCATTAGACTTTTGCAGCTTGAAGTTACGATTGCTGAAGCACAGCTTAGTACTCTCCTTGTTTAATGGCAACTAAAGCTTTTGTGGGATTGAGCACCTATAATGATTTAAAGAAGTGTAAATGCACCATGGCAGTAGGCAGACATAGGCTACTGTCATCAACTCACTCTGTAAACCTGGATTCTACTTGTCATCCAGAGCAACAGTCAATCCTGTAGGAAATCACCACTGTCACTTGTAGCTCTCGGGATTTTTCATTTGTTTCTTAAGGCAGGCAAACCTTAACGTTTGGCCAAACATTAATGTTAACACAAAAGTTCAAAAGGGAAGGAAGACTGGCCCTGCTCTATTGGGAAAAATGGCGTTCCAAGGATCACAGAAAAGTACTCACATAGAAAAGACTCAAAACTTCAAGATTTAGCCAAACAGCTTTAAAAAAAAAAACCACCAGAAAAGAACACTGTCAGAAGTTAATCAAAACCAATGTAAAAAGCACCTACTTACCATGAGACAGTGAAGCTACTTTGTCTGCCCAAAACAGGGCACTTTGATACTGCTGCTGTAAAAGCATGATGGAAATAATTAGTATTTATTTGGAATTAGCTTTCCTGGATTATTCTGAAATACACTGTACATATTTATGTTATGCATGTAGTCTCTAATGAACTGGGATTCACATTTGAGACCTTCAGAAGTTAAAAAAATAATTTAAAAGGTCCAGCTCTGTAACTTCTAAAGGATATCAAAAAGTAATTTGAGGTGGGATTATTTACTTTAAATAAAATGCAGACACCTTTGGCCAAAAGGTATGTGCTACATACATATGGCACCAATCTGCAATCACTGAAAAAGTAGCAAGAATCTTCCCCTTCCAGATAAAATAAATGCTAATTTTTTTAAAGAAAAAGAGAATACTATATATAAAAAAGGACATACAAATTACTCCAGGAAACTTTAGCAGCACCATCTCTAACTAACAGATATTCATTCGCCAGTCAAATGCTTTCACCTCACACCAATCACAGTCCCTGTGTGAATTTCCCCTTACTCTTGGATACACAATTTCACTGGGAACTCTGCAGTTCAGGCAAAGTGGGTGAAATAGAAAAGACTGGTGGCTACTAGAGATCCTACAGAAGCACAGTTTGCAGGTATATCCCATTAACTCAGCTAAGGTTGCAATCCAATTTGGGCTGCTAGGCAAAACCTCATAGAATTGGCTGGGATTATTCTCTGAGAAGATTGGCAGGAGGCTTCTGTTGTTCTTTTTTATCCTTCTCCATGCTATGGGGCATAAAATGCTTCCCAGGAGCTGCTAGACATCTAACAAATACCCTGCGACTGCAAGGACCTGCAACACTAGAAAAGCCTGGATCACTTCTGCTCTTTCCTCACAACATTACAGTTGTGGAGTTTGCTTACAATCTTAGAGACTGTTTTATGCTTTTGGAGTAGCAGTTTGGCAGCCTTTCCAAAACACAGTGATGGTGTTCAGTACTCACACAGCATTACGCTCCCTGACCTAAGTGGTCTCTTCTATCCTGTGTTCCCACATTCCCTAGTCATGTAGATTAAGAGCAAATTTGCCAAGAGAATAGTTTAATCTGCACTTCCCCCAACCCTCCCGCCGCCGCACCCCCCCCCCCAAAAAGAAATCCACAAAAAAATCCCAAACGAAAATGAGGTTTAAATAACTCTGTCACCACAAGAGAACAGCACAATCCAGGCCTACAAGGCACCATATAACTTCTGTTCAGTAGTTTTACAATAAACAGACTACATTTATATCACATAAAGCAGCAGCCCCATGTTCCTCCTGATGCCCCTTCCCCAGAACTGCACAGGTGTCTATACAGCTGCCTTACACAGCGGCTTGCTGAAGTAGTTTAATTCAAATTAATACAGCAAAACAGAACAGTAAAATACACCAAATTCACTGAGGTCCCCTATCAATCTTTCTGTCAGACTTGCTGGCCAAGCACACAAATGTCTGTGCTAACTAAAGAGAAGGATTTCCCTCACTAGAGATAACAGTACCAAGTCTCTGAACTAGAAACAGAGCAGCGTAGCTTCATGCTATACTTAATCTAATTTATTAATGCGTATTTCCGGTTGTGTTTTTGTTTGCCCTGCAGCAACATAAATGCTGAATCCATCAGAAAATGAAAACAAACCTGCCCTTCTAACAGCAGTCTGCAGCTTCGCAGGGCATCTCCACGTACGATGGACAGCTATAATGGCCAGGTAAGAATGGCCGAACCTGCACAGCCAGCGACGGAGGGATCCCGCAAAGCGGCCCTACCGCTTTCACAGGGGGTTTTCCTCTTCCTGCGAACGAGGAAGTTGCCTTGGACCACACACACACCCGCTGGAATATGCCACCCGCCCCAGCCCCCAGCCGCTTCCGGCCCACCGCGCTCTGCTCCCGACCCCGTTTCCTTCCCTGCCGGGGGAAACGGGGCATTACTTCAACCTTAACCCCCTCGCCGCGGCTACAGAGCCTGGAGCTTGCTTATCCTTCCCCGCAGGAGGCTGGGGGAACGCCAGCGGGCCAGCCGCCCCTTCCCTAGCATCTCCTACCCGCCTCACCTGGTCGATGTACTGCCGCACCCGCTTCCTCAGCCGCTCCAGGTTCATCCTCCCGCAGGGGCTGGGGGAAGCTGACGTGGGGCAGCCTAAGCGCCGAGCCCACCGCGCTGCAAGCTGACCGCCCGCCTGGCGAGGCGTCCTGCCCGCCGGTACCACGCTCAAACCCGCCCCCCCGTCCTTCCCTTCCTGCTTCCCTTCGCTCCCTCCAAGAAACAGCGCCCCGAGCGCATCGTTCCGGGAGCGCGCCACTTCCCCCACCCCCGCCCCATAACTTCATTCCAAGACGTTTCTCTGCAGTCCACCCAACGATGAATTTGTTATGGGGCTCTTCACCGCAGTTCTGAGGAGAAAGGTTGTCTCTTTGTCTCTATAAGGGGCCCTGTAGACCCCACTGCCTTGAGATTTCCCCCTTCAGCTACTGTGGCCTTGAGGTGAAAACGTTCCCTCAAGACGCTGCAGCGATGGCGGATGGCATGTCAGGAGGCTTTCTATGAGTCTTTCATTGTCCAGTCATTTCTGGTATCCCACAAGTTAGAGAATCATTATCCACTAGGATACTGCTGAAAAAAATGCCAGCTTTTACTACTGAGAAACAGATGATGTGAGCCATTAAAATGCCTGATTTAAAATAGTTTGGATGGTGGACGATACATCTTGGAGCGGGTGTGTCTGTTACAAGAATAGCAACTGTATTTGATGGAGAAGGAAAAGCTGTGACAGAGTCACAGCGTGGATAAGCCCAGAAATACGGCAACTAGTCGCGACTGACTGTTGCGTTAAAATCTCTTTGAAATCAGTACAGTTAACAGCATAGGTATTTGTCAGTTTGTGGATCTTTCCATGTACAATAAAAGATGTTTGAATGAGAGTCTAATACCATTTAGAAACTGCTGAGTGGTGGAGCCCACAATCTACTTCTAAGTGGCATGTTTCTCTCTTAGACCAGGTGTAATGATAACTCACCAGAGCCCAGTGGCTTCTATTCAGCATTAGACATTGGGGCAACAAACTGCAGGAACAAAGAGAGAATGAGATGAATTTAAATATCATAAAATCATAGAATAGTTTGGGTTGAAAGAGACCTCCAAAGACCATATAGTGCAACGCCCCTGCAGTGAGCAGGCACATCTTCAACTAGATCAGGTTGCCCAGAACCACAACCAAGCTGGCATTTAATGTCTCCAGGAATGGCATATCCATCACATCTCTGGGCAACCTGTGCCAGTATTGTGCCACCCTCGCTGTAAAATATGTCTTCCTTACATCTGTTCTGAACCTACCCTCTTTTAGTTTAAACATCACAGTAGTGGGCTGAGTTTGAAACATTATGAAATGAACAAAAAGTGAAATAAAATATAGAAATTCAGAGTTTATGCTAATGTCTAAGATAAAAGTCTAGGCTAGGGAAGAAAAAAAAGATGCACAGGAAGTGTGGGGGTTGGAAGAGAAGAAAACTCTCTTGCTGGGGATGGGTGATGGTTAAGAGCAGCCATAGTCACAGTGAGATGGTCTGAAGTGTAGAGAGGATCTGTGATCTGCAGGATCTTGGAGAGGCCCAGGGAATGCTCTGTGAAGGTGAGAAAGCAGAAATGTGCATAGATTATGTTTTTACTTTGCTAACATCTGTCTAGTTCTTATGTTGTCAAAGCAGAGTGCATCATCTCAGGTTGCTCTGTAACATTTGTGTGTAATGTGCTGCTCTCTTGTGTCCATCTATTTCTGGGGCTGAAGCAATAAGAAATGGTTGCTTGAGCTTTGCTGGGAGGCTGTAGCAGTGCTACTCCAGTGGCTTTGCTCAGGTGAGCTCTACTGTTTTTGCAATGGGAAGATGCTCTGACATCACTGCTCATGAAGTAGCTGATCATTCAAAGAGAGTGTCCTTTTTGGATAGATTCTAAAGTTTTGCTTCTCCAGTGGGAGTCATGTAGGCATGTGGGCAAATAGATAGGGCTGACACCTGGTGCTGTGAACACCAAGATCTTTGTGAACTGGCTGGTGAGGCTTAAAAAATATTTTAGGTATGAACAGAGGAAAAATTGAATTCTAAGTAGTTTCAAATAATACAAAGTTTCTCTTTCAAATTCAAAACCAGTAATGAGCAAAACTGCTCTAGTGATTTAATAGTGTTGATATACCTACTGCTTTGCCAATAGTATTTGTAACAGTTGAGAAGATATGAAGGGATGGTTAAAAAACCGTGCTTTATGAACCTGCACTTCAGTATCTTAAATCTTGAGAGGAAGGGGAGGGCTCCACAGTCATATTAAAACTGCCTCACTTTGTGGAACTTTCTGGGTTTTTTTGTCTGCATTGAGAGCCTTCTTTCTTTCTTCTGTTCTAAAAATACCTATAGGTACATTCTGCTGGTGCTAGCACATAGCTTCCTCCTGCTGCTTTTAAATGACTGTTTCTGAATTAGCTTGATGTTTGCACATGTATCATACTCATAGAATGGTTTGGGTTGGAAGGGACCTTAAAGATCAGCTAGTTCCAAACCCCTGCCACAGGCAGGGACACCTTGCACTAAACCAGGTTGCTCAAAGCCCCATCCTGGAATCCTAGAATCATTTGGAAGGGACCTTAAAGATCATCTGGTTCCACCCAACAAGCTAGGGCTTGGCAAGCCATCTCTGGGGGCACATCCACAAGAAACCAGCCTTTTTGGGGTCTGCTGCTTGCAGAACACTCTTCTTCCTGTGGTTATCTGGATGATATAAACCTATTGCTGTTTGGGTCTCTTTTTTACTAAAATAAAGAATCTTGGAATTTATATTTCTTTTCTGCAGCAGTTTTTAGTTCTTTGCAATAGTGAGGAGCGAGTCCTGTTGATCATATAGATTAACGAAGATCACGTTCGGCTTTGGTTTTTCCAAGAGTTTAATTTTGGAAGAGTGGTCTCTTTCATGTTGATTTCTCTTTCCTCCATTATGTATTCATCCGTTATGGCTATTGGAGGTGCCAAGGTTGTACTTAAGGACATTTAATCCTTCTTGCTCAGAAGCAAAGAGAATCTTGCTTTAAGGAAATGAAGAAAATAATTTTTTTCTTTCACCTCTTGCTGCTCACAGTAAAATGTAAATCCTTCAGGATAAATTTTAATACTGAGAAGTAAATAAATATTTGCACCACAAAATGGAACTTCTATTATAAAGCTACTGACTACAATTATGCTTCTCTTTATGGAAGTTAAAAGGAATTGTGTGAGGATGGGTAAAAGCAAGACAGCCCTAGGAGCTATTTTCTGCTTTATTCAGATTTTATTTTAAATCTTATATCCCTTAGATTTCTTTTGAGAAGCACTTGAATGCATTATGTTTGCCAGTATGAAAAGTAATATTCCTCTTTTTTTCTTGGGTGTATGTAGCCATAGTCCAAAAATAATAAAGGTGGTGCTCCAGGCTAGATGTAGTGGGGGGCAAATGAGATGCTCTTGGCTTGCTTTGCTTTGCCATCAGTCTGAATTTTGCCATTTAATTGGAAGCTTCTGTTGTTAGTGGAGCAAAACAATAATTCAGCTGACCAAACATAGGTGTCTGCATTAGGGGGAGCTGACTGGCTTTCTGGACACCACTGGTTGTGTTAATTAGATTTCTACTGACTAGAATGAGAGCTTAAGCACCTATCTCATATGTCCAAGCACAAAATGTATGTGTCTTACTGGAGCCTAGCCTAGGACCAAAATTAATTTCTCCACATGTAGGGGTGTAGCTAAATTTGAGTATTACCTCAGTTGCTGTAGAGTGTCTCACACATGCATGGGACTAATGTGCTGAAGAGCTTTGCCCTCCCAGTCTGGTGTTGGGAGGCCAGATGAGTTCACAGCATTATCTAAACTGAGACTATATGCCCATGTTTAGGAAGGTGAGTCCTGTCCCATGTGTCTACATGTGCGCAGGGCATTAGGTTCCCAAAGCAGTCTGTAAAGTCCTTATGGTAGTGGGACTTAGTGGCCTGAACTTTTTGAAATGTTTTCTCCCTCTACCCTTCCACTTCTCAGAACTGAAACATGTGGAGGGGTAGCTCAGGTGGGTATGTTTTCATGCTCAGGGCTGCAGCACAGCTATCTGCAACCAGAAACTTATTTTGCATGCCATAACAGTAGCTCTTACTGTTTGACACAGCACAGGTATGGGAGCAGAAGGTGGTCATGTAGTTGAATGCAGAGAGAAGGGAGAAAGCAGACCATGCTTGTGAACCATAAATAATGCAACATGCACATGCTCCAATATTTTAAGAACTTTGGGGCTTGGGGGATAGTTTTGATTAGTTTGATATTTTATTTGAAGTAAAAACACTGATGTTTACTTGAAATGTACATGCTGTGTATTATAGGAATGTGCCTGCTTGGTTGAGTTTGCTTTCTGGGTTTTGGGACAGTGAAGTAGTGAGTAATGTGAAAACTTTGTGTGTTGACTGTGAGACTTAGTGTGTATTGCACGAACTGCAGCTTGAGCAGATGTACAACCTGTTACTCATCTTCCTTAACTGTGAAGTGGACTGCTCACTGCTGCAGTTCATCACCAGCACGGACAAGCAAATCCATTATGGGTTATCTGGTTAGCTAACGTGAAACCCAGTTTGTTGGCATTTCCTCTTAAAGAAATATGGACTTTCCTTATTCTGTTATGCAATGTATAAAACAACCATATACAGAAAACAACTTTACTTTTCTCAGGTCACTGTACCAGACAGATGCAGCCTTCTTAAACCAAGAAATTATACCTTGGCACTTGTATCCTTCAGTTCCATAGAGAAATGGAATCGCTGCATTAGATGCAACGTGTGTGAAACAGAAAATAGCTAAAATTAATGTAAGTATGTATGCTTAAACTTTTGATTTCCTTGAAAAGTAGTTTTGTAGCATCTTTGGAATGGGTTTTTGTTGTATTTTTTCCCCTCCCCGTGTTTATAGTTGTCACTGTCGTTACCATCTGAAGGCTCTTTTAACTCCTATCATTGCTGTTGCTCTAAAGCTAATCGGTTTTCAAAGGCATGAAGATAACAGTATATGCAGATTCTATTTTCTTGTATGTTTTTGTTGTTCTGCTGAAATGGATGAGAATTTAATTTCAGAGGATGAGAACAGTATTTTTGATTAATCATCCCCTCTCCTGAGATGCTGAACTTAATCCCTTGAATCTATTGCCAGGACTTTTATTTATTTAGCTTCCAAAATTAAAAGCTGCTTTAATCCCTTTGCAGTCCTTTTGCTGAACCTTGTGTACTGAACCATGCATCAGCGTGCATTGCATGCATCAGAGCAGCACAACACCATTTAATGGAACTCTTTAGTAACAAATGGCAAATAGACAAAAACTTATGTTACCTAAATATTCGATAGACAGCAACAACTGTTCTTGCAGGTGTGCTTGGTATTTTGCGTAATCACATTTTCATTTTGACAGATTTGTGCTCATGGTGTGAATCCCCTCTTCATTTTGCATCCCTAGACACTTGTGTTGTGTAGTTGTGAGAACTGAGCATGCTTGTGACTAACTGTAGAGCCTGTGATTTGTTTGGAGGAGGCCTATGTACTCCCATTTTAAGATAGCACTGGCACTGGCTACTGCAGAAGTTCATAACCTGAGGTTCCAAATTGGTTTTGTTTTCTTTGTTTTAGCGTCAACTTTCAGATTTAAAAATGCTGTGATGTAACAGATAATTATGCACATCTCTGAGTAAATATTGTGGTCACTGGTGCCCAGTGACAGGACCAGAGGCAACGTGCACAACCTGAAACACACGGGCTCCATCTGAACGTTAGGAAATGGTTTTTCACTGTGAGGATGACCAAGCACTGGCACAGGGTACCCAGGGAGGTTGTCCATCCTTGGAGATATTCCACAGCTGTCTGGACATGGTCCTGTGCAACAAGCTCTCTCTGGGTGGCCCTGCTTGAGCAGGAGGTTGGTCCAGAGTACTGCTAGAGGTGCCTGCCTCCGTTGACCTGTGATTCTGTGAAATACTGTGTTTGGTCAGAGACACTGATTCTCACTGAGGTTAAATAAGATCATGTCTTCTTTGTACAACAGTCAGAAATGCTTTTGACTCAGGAGTGGCTGTTCCTATTTTTATCAAGGAAATTAGTTGTGACACCAGAACCTGACAGTCCTCAGCACGTGGATAGGGAAGGAAGCCCAGTGAATCTGAAGGCCACTTTACAATTGACTATATCAAATAATATATAAAATTCCTTTTCAGGAAGAGAAGCCTAACAGAACATGAGCTAAATCTGCCAGTAAATACTACATGAGTGAAATAAGTGGCTGGAGGGATGCTGCTTGTATTTTGGAAAACTGAAAACTTAGCAATGGCTCTTTAGTATAAGTGGAAAATGACACTGGGAGATCAAGGGTTTTCAGTAGTTATCTGCAGAGTTAAAACACTTTCCTTTTTCACACCAGCCATTACTGCATATTCTCTTTTTCCTTTTTCCTTTTTTTTTTTTCCCCTTTTCCTCTCCTGCTCCAGTTTCTAGATATGTCTCTGTCTCTCCCTTTATGGTAGTCCGACATAGCTCTCATCACAAATAGCTAGCCAGCCTTTAATATCCTTTGAAATCCCCAGACATAGACCATAGCTATTGCCAAAATAGATAGATAGACTGCCATGACATATTGCACTATATAAATAATGAGAACATATGAATAATAAGAACAAACATTAATCATGTTTGTAACTATACAATGGACTGCAAAAAGAAGAGAGTTCCTTAGTGAGATGTTTTTAAAATAAGAAGTCAATAAATTTGTTATCTAGAGCTCCATAATAGGTACCAGTGGAAGTTTTCGTGATTTTTTTTTTTTTTTAATTATTTATTTTTGATAAATTGTGAAATAATCCTCCAGTCCTCAGCCAGACATTGGATACTTGGTCTTTACAATACTAAGGCTAAAGAGAAAGGCTAACCAGTGCGCAGTAACATAGTGTTGCTCTCTCAGCTGGATTTTTGTGGACCCTTGTGAGGCTGTGATGGATACACTTGACCTCCAGCCGTAGTTCAGGCTGACTAAGGAGCAACAGGCCTCACAACCTATGGTGAACCTGCAAGCTGGGAAGCCCCTGGCTCACATACAGGGTAATGAAGGTGCTCATGCCCCTTGGTGAACCTGCAACTTGGAAAGCTCATGCACAAGGGAGTGAAGGTGCCTTGGAAAAATATTTCAAAAGGTGATTTCAAAGCCCAGAAATGTAAGATAACTGAAGTACAGAACAAGATACGAGCTCTAAAATGAAGACATGTGTCTTGTGTATACTTCACTCTATAAATACCGCAATCAGGATGGGCCCAGGATGGGCCCAGTTTGAGATCTGCCAGAGTTGCCACTGGACTGCACACCAGGAAACTCCCTTTTAGCAGGGATGCCTGTCAAGGCTTGAGGTTCCTTACCTGAGACTAAGAGATCCATCCTTACCCAAGGTGGAAATATGCCTTACTCATGACAGATACTTGGTAAGTGACTGATAGCATGCTGAATTAATATTAATGAAACATCACTACTCAAAGTAACTACTCAATATTATAAATATTACATAAATAAATATTATATAAATTATTATATAAACATTATAGAATACATATTAGATAATGTATATTATACTATATAATTATATAATATAATTATATAATGTAATTATATATTATATAAATACATTATAATTACATTATAATTATATATTGTATATCTAAACATTATATAAATATTACACAAATATTATCGATATTATTGTTATAAACTTGATATAGATAATTCCAGTAGGCATAATCTGTTCTCCAAATTTAAGACTAAGTTTGGACCTAGCTGCACCCAGGCTCCGTAAGTTTAGAAAGCAAGGAGGTCCACTCTGAACTTCATAACTCAATGGGAGGGTCCTCCTTACTCTTTGTTTCTTCTGTTCGACATAAGCCATTGACCAAGTCTGAGACTAAGACTGTATCCAGCTGTGCCTAGGGTCCATAAGGAATTTAGAAAGCAAGGGGTCTGCTGTCAACCTTGTGATTCCATAGGAGTTACACTTTTGCACCTTCAGTCTCTGTGTGAATTATTCCAACTCTGTTCTATTTTCCCTTGTGTGTTTAATCCATGCAGTAATTAATAAGGTGAACCTTGCCATCAAAGTTACTGAACTTTGTTCAAATACTGCTAAACTTTGTGAAATTCCATCAAATTATTAAACTCTGCCACATTAGTATTTTACCTAAATAAAATATGTTGCTGCTTCTCTCTTTTGACTGAGGTGCATTCTGCTCATCTGTGACAGTGGCTGAGCATTGATATGGTCCTGAAGTATAAAGGCAGGCTCATTTTAGTCTGGTTGGTTTGTTTTCCTTGCCTAACACCCAAGCAAAAGCAAAGCTGCTGCCGAGCAACACTAGGGGTCACTGTTAAACATGATTATAATGAGTCTTGGGGCAATTTATTTGCAAGCTGAACCTGTATTCCTCACCATCTGTACATTGACCATTCCAAGACATGGCCGTGGTTTATTTCTCTGGCTTTTTTATTTCATCTGGAAGTACAATAAACAAATGGATACCAAGATTTAATTAAGGGGGCACAGCGTGGAGTTGTCTTACACGTAGTTTTAGTCTTTTTGTGATGAGCAAACTGAGATAAATGCTCTGTCTCAGTCTAGATTCATGGAACCAAACAACAACCGCTCCACAGTATCTGACATGTCACAGGATCATATTAGTCAGCAGTGGCTGAGGATGCCCCTTTGCAGAACTGGTAACCTTTAGCTCCTGTTCAGCATGGCTAAGCAGACAGAGGCCTGTTCCTTGGCTAGTTTATTTTAAAGAGCAATTAATGAAGTCCGCACACATATTTTAAGTTTGAAAATAATATCTCCTTGTTTTTTAGATTAATGAGAGTTGCATCAGCCTCAAGTCCTTGTCCTGATTGCATGGGAAATTAAGAAGCTTTCTGTAGCCTTTGCTAATTTCAACTTGTTCAGTGTGTGAAGCTGCAGGCACTGGCTTGTACTGTGAGGGCACACCTCTTTGGGTTGTATGTCTTTCCTCAGCAATATCATATTAAGTGATCAAGATGTACTGCAGGGCAAGGCTGCAACTCTAGTAAGCTTTTCTTCTAGCATAGGTCCTTTTTGTTTGTGCATTGGAGGAAGGGAAGGAAAAGAGTTGGTGGGAAGCACAGCCTTTGTGGCTTTACAGTGCAACCCCCTCTCTTTTGTTCCAGAACCACAGGTCTGGAGTAGGTGACTTGCTGGTACCACTGTGATTCAGAGGTCAGCTGAATGAGTTTTATGCATGAGACTTGACAGGTCTGCTTACAGTTCGCAGGAGTATGTGCTTGCTGCACTTGTCAGGCAAGTGGCTCCTAATGTTCAGTTCCTATTCAGCACTGGGGAGAATCAAAGAATGACATTTTGTATAAATGCCAATATGGGAAGATTCAGGTGGTCCTGGCATTTTTCAGCCTTGAGAGCTGAAATGTTGACTGATTTGTTTGGGATTTTTTTTTTTTCCTGATTTTAGAGATCTTCAAACTGAAAACTAAATAAACAGGGAAAAAAAAGAAGCCTTGCCCCAAAGTATGCACAGTCTATGATTGTTAAGGAAGCTGAAACTGTGGCAAACTAGTTTTAGCAAGGTTTTGCTATGACGCCTCTATTTTGTTTGCTGGTCAAGGCTGTGAGGCCACACAGTTCTTATCATCTGTCTGTCAGCTTGGATGTATTAGTTTTTAAAAGCTATGTCTAATCAATGCAATTGTTTTAGGGAATGCTTTAGGCATCAGTGGGCAGAACTGTAATGGTTTGGACATTCGAGACTGGAAGTGAGAGGCCATCACAGCTTCAACCACTGCAGAGCTGTCTGCAGAGCAAAAACCTGTTTTTCATGAACAGTTTATAGGACCTGTAACTCATCTGTGCTCAGAATTTTATGTGGTAACACTGCGAATTACTTATCTTCAGACAGGAAGGAAACAACATTTGGGAGATATAAACATGACAAGGAAGAGGGAGAAATACACTGAGTTCTCACTATAGATAGGAGAGAGATGTAAGAATTGCCCAGGGACCTTCTAGAGTGAATGTATGTGTGATGAATTTAGTCCTAAAAATGCTGCTAGACTGCAATCCCATGGCAATTTAATTCACTGCGCTCACAGAACCTGGGGATACTTGCTCACTGCTTTTAGGAAACAGAGAAGTAACATTATTGCAGCTGTGGTGACTGGCTGCCTGTACCACAGGAATGATTTAGGTTGTCTTATTAGAGTCTGCCTATGAGCTGCTGAAGAAAATGTCAGACTGCTTCACTGCTCATCTTGATAATAAAAGAGCTTGTACCACAGGTAGATTTTTTCCTGGGCTATGAATAAGCACCATGTTCTTGTACAGCATATTCTTTCAAAGCAGGTCTCATGATCATTGTGTTAACACACTTTTAAAATGGTTTCATTTTATTTATGCCTGTGGTATTTCTCAGTTTATCCTAGCTCCCAATACTTGCAAGGAGCTATGAACGTGTGTGTACATACCTGTTCATCCCTCTACCAAAATAAATCAATAAAGAGAGACCCTGAGCTGCATTCCTCAGTATATTAACCTAGACCAGCCTGCCTGTCCTTCAAAGGCCAGAGAGGTAAATCCTGTCTGGATCTTCTGGGTTGTGCCTTGCTACAGTTCAATAAATTTCACAGAAAAGTATCAAATTCCATAGAATAATCTGCCTTCCTAATACACATCTCACCAAAAAATATGGCAGGAACTGGAATGTTGCCTGTCAAGTTCAGGCTTAATATCCCATTTGTTCCCATTTGGTTCCTTAGTAGATTTTGTGCTTGCCCCGGGCAATAGCAACATGTTTCTTCGTGATGAAATATGATCAGTTATTTGTGTGCTAGCTGTAAGAAGGTAAGTGGCATTTCTGTTGGCTTGGCATGAGTCTTATAAAGTACTTTTTTTTTCACCCACTAGCTTGATTGTTCTAGCCTCTAGATTAATGTGCTCTTTTAGTAGCACAGCAAACTGGCCTCGGTGACTGTTATATATGTTATGATTTTTGCTAACTGACTCACCTTTGGCTTGCATTATGCCTCCCATTGGCTCTGGCAAAGCCAATATCTATTGACTCCTTGATTGAACACCATTCAACTGACCTCATGGTTCATACAGATCTTCATATCTACCTGGACCTTGATCAAAACCTGCTTGGAGACATTATAGACCCCAAAGGCTGTGGCTGGAAGGAGAATGTGTGCAGCTGGGGAATGGCTTGCAGAAAGGTCCCAGGTTCTGTCTCTCATCACCAGCTTTCTCTAGTTTATCAGATTTCATTTTTCAGGTGATGCGGGGGATTGAATTGTGCTTGCAAATGGCCAGTAAGGAATTCCCCTGGAGGAGGAAAGCTCCCAGCTGCCACAGAGCCAGTTTCTGCATGCTATTCTGTTTCCACTCCTCCTGCCTGGCAGAGCTGATAGGAAGGGACTGAGGCTGAGAAATGAGATCTGACTGAGCTTTGTGTGGACCATTGGACCAAATTCCAAGTTACTTTCTCCTGCACTGGAGTTATCACAATCTGACCCAAAGGTGTGGGAGGCAGGACCTGCTCAGATATGCTCCATTTTCTTGTGCTCATTGTTAGGAGGGAGAGCCTGACCTGCAGCACCTCTGGCAGCGTTTTCTTTGGGCATCTTGGACACCCAGAACACAGGCGTAGCTGACAGCTTGCTTATGCTCTTGTTCAACGGTGCAGTAGGAACTTGTGAGGCTTATTGCACTTTTGATGTTGATTGTAGATGGGCATTAGGCCTTATGCATGTTCAAGCTTACTGCTCAAGGATATACATTTGCTCTGAGTAAGCATGGTAAGTCCAGGTGTCCAAAATATGGCAGTTACCATGGGTGAGTACAGTCTGATGTGCCTGCGATAACAGTTTTGTTGTTCATACAGAACAGGGTTGCTCTGCACAAGAATTGTAGGTGATGGTCACTGCATGTGTGCAGTGGTAGCTTAATTTCCAAAGCAGCAGGGTGAGAGATGAAAGGAATAACGTTGGGGGCAGTTTTAACAGCCTGTGCTCTCTTCTGAATGAGCTCATTCTGGTGTCTGGGCTTTCAGTCTTAATGGACTCAGTTAAGCTGAGTTTTTTTGTCTTCTGGAAACTGAGGATTTGAAAACCACTTCCTAGAACATCACGTTTGCCACAGTCAATTAACACGGTCACCCTCTGCAAGAGAGACACAAGTGGCCGGCCTTTAGGAGCGCTATGCATTTCACTTCTGTGGGATAGAATTTCATCATTGGAAGCTTTGAAAGAACA